TACTGAGATATCTGGAACTTAAAAAGAGCACAGAATCAGATATAAAGATCTGTGCACAGGGCATGCAGCAGTGAAATTTACCTCCAATAAAATGTTTTTTCACATTTCTTCTTACAGAAATTAATTGCTTTTCTTGTCTGGTACACAAATATGCTCATTAGAAATAACACATGCAAAAAGTGACAAATGTTGGCAGTGATATTGTGACACTCTTTATCATGCTCCAGCCTATAAAATGGCACTGAAACCTTTGATGTGGTTGATGTCACTTGTGACTCTTGGGGGATCTTCTCTTGTCCACTCAGCAATGGTTTCTCTCCTAGAAGGGTTCTCCAGTGATCTAGTTACTCATACACATCCCAGGACCTTCTGGTTCCACACATCAAGACTTTCCATGCCATTTGGGATTTTTCTGGTGGTAACACCTCTGCCAACCGCTGCTCAGACGGAAATGCACTGGAATGGAGATGGAGTCCAGAGTGGTCCTGACCTGGCATGAACTCCACCTCTGCCAATAGTGTGACATCTGAGAAGGTGCTGAGAAGCTCACAGGTTTTGTAATGTAAGCTGTTGGGCAAAAAGAGGGGAAGTGGCAAAGGGAGAGGGGTTCCTCCAAGACTTATTCTCAAATTAAATGTTCACTTCCTTCATTTTCACGTTCTCCTTTTGTACTCCCTTGCTGCCTTCCTCCCTTCTATTTCAGGTCCAGTTAGGGATGGGATGCAGAGACTTGGGGTGTTCTGCTTCCCACCAGCTCCGAGTATACCCAAGAAGTAATGTGGGGATATTAGCAGGAAAAAAAGCCCGCTGCAGCTAAACTTTAATCTCACACACTGCTCTGGGGGCTAGCTTGATTTTCAGAGGCTTGTGCAATGCTTTGAAGGTCTCTGCAGTGCCACTTGCACATAGCAAGCCAGAACAAAGTTCTGAGGGTAGTCTCAAAGACATACCTGTCCAAGCTAGCTCTGCCACTGCTGCCACCCCTCTCAGAGTTGAATGACATTTTCGTGTGGGATTGTGGTGGCCGTAAGAAATAACTGCCTACATGTTCACTTGAATGTGATGAACGGTTTCAACTGAAAACAACCCATCTTCAAGCATTCAAACCATTTAATTGCAAACAGCTTTTCCTTTTGAAGCTTCCTTACAATTTTCAGAAATAAAATAACCACATCTAAAACAAAGACTCGTTCCCCAACCAAAAGTTTATCAAAAACTACACAAAACTTTAATTTAGTGCTCAATGAATCACGTGCTTTGGTTCTGAATGATTTTGCTCTCTGGTTCCCATTTTGACAAGAAAATGGAAATGTTAGAGTTGAGTTTGATCTAGATACGCTTATGAGTTTGGACGGCTGGGTTTTATTTTTTTCAGCTCATCCACAGAGTTGAAAAACAATCATACACAGCTTAGCCCCGGAGCACTCCCCCGCTCTGAGGTTGGTTGCATAGCAAACTGCAAAACACAGGCATGAGCTATGAACATGCAGCGGTCGGTCATGTCAAGTTTCAGAAAGCCTGAACTGGCTCTGCGTTATGCTGAGCTTTTTCAGACTTTACATTATGCCCTACTGTTTCCTGGTTGCTTTTGCAGTCTGCTGACTCTGGCGTTGTATTAGCCTGATTCTTCCTCTAGGGTGCTTTGGGTTCTGTCATCCTTTCCTTCCTCTCACTTCCCTCCATCCTCTTCCTCCGAAAGGTATTTTATCTCCTTGCTTTTTGATGAGCTGTTCTCATCGTTTCTGCCTGTGAAACACAGGTACAGACTTCTTGGGCTTATAAGATGGTTGTAGGACAGGAAGAGGAGTGAACTAGGACAAGAGCTTGTTGCCTCATGGCAATAGGTGGGTGCTCTGTCCTCCCTTAGGCAAGAGTCATGGGTGAAAGCACCCCACAGACATGCCAGTGGGTCGGGAATGCCACGGCCCCTAGGGTAAGGGAGCAGCCCCTGGGGACTGGCCTCTCCCCAGGCAGTAGGGTTTCCTCTTCACCACCCTGCTGCTTTCAGGCACCCAGTACTGAGCACACACAGGCAAGATTTCTGAGGAGGACATTAAGGTCCCTTGCCAGACAGAGGAAGCAAGACATCATTTACAGGGGGAAGGGCTCCCTCTTCACCTTCATGGCAGAGAAGTTGAGGACCACTCTCAGGAGAGGATAGGGGCAGAAGTCTCAGGTGTTTTAGCTCTGGGCAGGATTTCTAACCTCCAGCCTCTCCCCTCCAGTGATCAAGAAATACTGGGAAAGGATTCAGATGCAAACAAAAGGATTTGGGCAAACAAGAGCCAGAGAAGCACATCTTTTTAGTTTAAAAACTCTTGAGGAATAGTAGTAAGGGAAATTATTAAGGTGAATAAAACAGCAAATGCAGGGTGCTGGGCTAGCCAGAAAGGTTGCGGGCCAGAAGTTGGGGACATTCCAGGATGTAGTCCCAGGCTGTGATAAAGGAGTAAGAAACAGAAGACCTACAGGGTAAAATCCCAAACCAGATACTTAGTTCTATAGTTTTTATTTTAAAAACAGGAAACAACCACATTAATAAGCATATAAAACCCATCCAAAATATACACAATGCTGTTACAGAAAAAAAACCATAGAGATACCATGTGAGAAAGACCTACACATTTCGGTCCAAGCCAACATACATCTCTGATGCACAGTATGGAATGCTTTTATGCATAGCTGTAGGGGGAATTTCCTAACATATAGATGTCCACATAGAAGTTTCATGTCTGGAAGTGCTGGAGGGTGAAAGGAAGGGGACAAAAATCTGTATAACTGAGTCAAAACGTGAAAGTTTGGAAAGAAGCCATATATAATACTTCTGAGAATAAATATCTGGCACAGAAGCCTGATAGAAAGCTAGGGAAAACTGGATGTAATAGGATTGCATTGTGCAAAGCTGGTGTATTTAAAATGAAGTCACAGGAAGTATCTCACAGCAGCAAATTTTACTGATGTTTGCAACTGTTTCTCATTAGGGAAGGTAGCAATGTCATCACTCTATAGTTACTGACAATGCCAGATACACACCCCCAGAACATACATCAATGGGAACTGCTCTGAAGCAGTATGTTGTCCAGAAAGGTTGGGCTATCCATGCTACAACAATTTTGCTGAATTCCTGCCTTTCTGAGTCTTTCTTCCTTTTACCCACCTTGGAATCTGTGGGCCTGCCTCTCTTTAGGATATCCGGCAATGAACTCCAGCATGACTTTGCAGGTAGACCCGAGTCTGATCAAGTCCAAAAATGCAGATCTTAGAGCAGGAGTTTGAATTGGACCTACCTCTGTGCTACCTTCAGATAGCTCGTGCAGGTCTGGAGAGACACGGGCCTGAAGCCTCTCTCGACAGAGCACTGCAGTCAGTGAAGCAAAGCTCCCACCCCTTGACTGCAAGTATGCCATATGTGCTACTTTTTGCCTTCCTGAACTGAACTGTGCTAGCTCGGCAGCAAGGGCAGGTGTATACATACTCTCAATTGCCTAGCAGTGTGAGAAGCAGGGAGACCAATAGTTACTGTTGTACTGTTATTGTCTGCCATATCCCTTTTAACAGAGGCACTATTACAGAGCTGTACACATCTATACAGCATGCTGCACACTGGTGAGCATCACGACAACATGCAGATCTTCCAGAGAGGACACGTGGGGAAAAAACATTGGGCCTGCAACCAACCAGTGGACTGAGCACTACAGACCTGTCACACTGCTAAGCCAGTAAGTTCCAGTAGCTCTGGTCTCTAGTCCTGCATCTCTACCTTTATGAACTTACATATGCCATAACTGATCACACCTATGTCCAGAAGGGTCATGCTACATGCCTGTCTAATATTTCTAAGAACAATTGCTAAGAAAATACAGCTTTGGAAAATAATTTTTATCCTTGCATACCTTTAAGTAACAATACGCAAATTTCAGACTTCCTGACCTACTAGAATACAGCAGAGAAGCCAAAAAAAAAAAAATCAAGAGAAGGCTGGAAAAGTTACTTTCTGGTTTGCAATCACCATGCTCAATCGTCCCATACAATGCTTAACCACGACTGAAAATATAAACTAACAACACCCATTTGCTGCAACACCACTTTCCAATCAACACTTGGGAATAATATTTAAAATTGCCACCCAAAAAATCCCAAATAACAGAGATTTTGGTGGTCAAACAAACATACCTCTTCTCACTAGTATGCAATTCTTTGAATTTCTTTCCAGAGGGCACAAATAACTTAAAGGTGATGTGCATAATTGGCTCTGTTGTACATACCATCCAAAATGCCCAATCTCCTGTTTAGTACTACATTTCTCCTTTACAGTCTTATTGCACCTCAAGTCTACAGCATCTTTTGTTAGAATAGCTATTTCTCTTAAACATCTTCAATTTCATTATCTGTACATTTTTGTACACCATTAAAAAAATAAATATTTACAAAGTGACATACAAATAAATAAACTTAAGTAAAAGTATGCTTTCAGTCTGTCTATACAAAAAAAATAAAAGAGCAGGAAAAAATATGCATGTAACTTGGTCCCCTTTTTCCTGAGGCTGAAAAAAGTGCACACTGGATAGGAAAAAGCAAGGAGATGGCTTTTTGGTAGGCTTGTTAAATTCCAGTGTAACACTGCGCACACACACACACACACAGAGTAGACTCAAAGGGCCGGGGACTTGTTTAGTGGGTCACTTCAACTCACTACAAAAATAGCAATTAGATTCAAATACATAATGGTCACTGCGTGCATAAGTATGTTAACCCCAAATAGCAATTATAGGTGAGAAAAGCAAAAATATTGCCAGCTTTTCTCTGTTCTCCTGACAATTGTGACAGGGAAGATGAGATTATTTTTGCGAGTGCCAGGTGACTTCCAGTACTTGCAAATGGGATCACCCATATCAGATTTGCTTAATGCTGGTAAGCCTGGCAGAATGGGGGAGTATATGGGTGCAAAGAAGAAAATAGCAGCAATTGAGGGGGGGGAAAAAATGTCCCAGTTCTCATGGTTTTCTTTGCTCATTCCTTTAATGACTCTTTAAACATGTAAGAGTCGAAGAAGGGGTGTGTCATGAATCTTAGGCATCTTCTTTGTCAGGTTGTATGCTGTTCAGCTCCACCATGGGGTTCTTCTCTACAGACGATGTGGGGCTGGCTTCTGGTTGTCCTTCAAAGCCCCTGGAGATGTCTTCAAAAGTCCTGCCCTTGGTCTCTGGCACTTTGAAGTATGTGAAGACAAAGAAGATGACCAGGAAAACAAGGAAGATGAGGAAGACATAGGAGCCACATAGTTTCTGCAGGGAGGACAAAAGCAGGAGGTTTTAATTTGAAAAGCTCATAAACCTAAATGCAAGGTCATTTGCTGTTGACAGGTCAAAATTCTAACACCTTTCTCCAACAATGCCCTTACTGACTTTCTCAGATTCCTGTGGGCTTTTGAAATGCTTTAATGTTCCTGGGGATGACCAAAATTGAGGCTTTTAAAGGGAAAGCCTTGATGTGCTAATTAAGATGGCTCTTCCAACTATTTGTAAGCTACAAGCAATTAAGAGAGCAGAATGTAAGGTCAGCCACAACATTCTCAACCTTCAGTTAACTATCAGAACGCAGAATCAGGGACCTCCGGAAGATTGACCAGCCCTCTGCTCAAAGCAGGGACAACTTCAAGGAGAGATCAGGTTGTTAAGGGTCATACAGTCATGTTTTGAAGTCTCCGAGGATAGAGATTCCACAACTACTCTGGACATCTATTCCAATGCTGCAGCACTCTCTGTGCTTTGCAAACTGGGTCCTTACCTCTGCATACGGGAAGAGCATTCCCACCAAGAAATTAGAGGTCCAGTTGGAACAACCAGCCACTGCCATGGCTGCAGGCCGTGGGCCCTGGCTGAAGAGTTCTGCCACAATGAACCAGGGGATAGGGCCAGGGCCAATCTCAAAAAGAGCCACAAAGCCAAAAGTTGCAACAATGCTGATATATCTGATCCACTTCACAATGTCCTGCAAGGAAACAAAACATGACCCGCTGCAATTTGAGGCAAACATGGCACAGCACAATGCTATCTCCAGTGTCACAACTTTCTCAGCTGCACTGTGAACTCTGTGGCACAGTTTCCGCAGTTAGGAAGTTGCGCCCTCCACTGCACACTCAGCTCTAGCCCCAGCTGTACCTGCCTACAGGGCAGAATTGCAGGGCAAGGCAGATGCATAGTCTTATAGGTCCCCTGCTGGGGTCAGCCTGGACAAGAACACCAATTACTCACCTTCAGAGCTAAAGCAACGGTCATAAGAACAGCACACACAGCCATGCCACCTAAACCAACTAAATGGAGGGTCCTGCGCCCTGCACGCTCCACCAGGAACAGCTGGAAACATGGCAGAAGGAGAAAAAAAAATCCATGACTTTGGCAGCAAGAGCAGAAGAGGCTTCCTTGCTCAGTGTGCCCTGCACCTCTTTCTTTTATCTGCCTGTAGCCCTCAGTGCCAGTGGTGATCCCAGCGTACAAGTTACCAGGCTGCTCCATCCTCGGCACAAGTTTTTCCTCTCTGGTTCTTGCTACTGCCTTCTCTCATCATTCTTTTCCCCCATACACCCCTTTTCACCCTCCTTTTCTTCTAAAAGGATAACAATACCTCTTTCTCCCCTCATCTCTTCCCACAATGCTTTTAATGCATTCTTTTCTTTGCTCTTATAGGCCATTGCCTAGCCCAACGCTTTGCCACAGCCTGGCTACTTGTCTTCAGTCACATGTCCCAAAAAAGCCCAGGCAGACATGTTACCTCTCACCATAAGGCCCTGTTCCACTTACCGACACAACAGTGAAGACTGTGTTTACCACGCCAGCTCCAATGGTGGCATACACAGGCTGTGTGATACCAGCTCTCTCAAAAATCCCTGTAGAATAATAGAATACCTAGGAAGAGAAGCAAAAGTTGGACACCGTCACAATTCCAGTGTTTGAGAGCATGCCTCTCGTTTCCTGCCTAATGGCTTGCAGGCCCAACAGGGAGTTTCTAAGAAGCACTCAACAGTATAAAACAGCATGCTTCCAGTCAAGGTTCATTCACTTGATGCAAGGCTGCAATGTCTTGCTGGGGTGTGTATGTGAAAAGTGAAAGCCAATATAATCTCCGCTTTCCATCTTAGCAATCTCTGCAGTTATCACAAAACACACTGACCTCCAGTCAAGGCGCAAAAAGGGGTTTTCTGGAAGCACAGTTCTCTCAACATTAGCGGCAAGTGTAGCCAGAGACCAGGGAGGCCCAGCAGATGGGACAGGAAGATAACTCACAGCATTGATGCCTGAGAGCTGTTGGGAGAGCTGTAGCATGATGGCAACAATAATGGCTTGACGGTAGTTTGGAGAACGGAAGAGCTCTGGCACAGTTGCTTTCTTTTCCTGGGACATTTTAGCACTCTCTTCTTTCATCTCCAGGATGTCTTGAGACACATCTTGTGTACCACGGAGCTTCTGGAGAACTGGAGGGAGGAATCAAAAAATGCCAGGTATAATACACTCATGGTCAGTAGGTTCCCCCCACCCTGCCCTGCTATTTCAGGGAGGGCACACTGGGAAGACTGGACCATCTGCCAGTCAGTGTTTGGGCCTGCTGTGTGGGAAAGATCGAGCCTCTACATAGAGCCTTGCTCATCTTTTCAACCCAGACGTCGGGGTGCTTTGATCAGCATGGAAACCAGGCCCAGGTCCTGCTCATGTTGCTTGATCTCCAAACTTACATTTGATCCCTAATTCTGTTCACACGCTTGCCAGAGCTGACTCCAGCCTCTGCAGTAGGAGATGGAAACACCCTCCAAGCTCCGTGTTAAATATCAGCCGATTTCCTGTCAGCTCCTCTGTCAGGAGGAGCTGACAGAGCTGCAGCATCTGGCCCTGCCATATGCCGCCAGGCCAGGTGCCACTCCTCACATCTTAACCCCACCTGGAGTCTCTGTTGGGATGCCAGGTTTTTCACACTTCCTGGCACTAGTGCGACCTAAAGGATGGGAGGGTAGGCCTGGTGCCCTCCGGGAGTCACACCCTGATCCACCACAGGCTCCACAGTCAGTCCTGGCCTCCCACTCAAGTTCAGTGCAGGCTGGGAGCCAGAATACAGCCCTGCCCCTTCAGAGATGAGTTCTTACCTGCTTGCGCTTTCTCTTCCTCCATCTTGTTGATCAATAGGAAACGGGGGCTCTCAGGGCAGAAAAGAAGAGCCACACACTGCAGGATTGCTGGGAGGATCGTGAACCCCAAAAGCAGTGGCCAAAGTCCTTCAGTCCCCATGATTTCCTCCAGGCCAAAGATCTAGACCAAGAATTGCAGGGAAATCAAGTGATTTAAATACTCCGATTCCTCATCTCCACACCAGCAAGTATGACAGAACCACATACCGCACCTGATGGCAAGTGCGGCCCACCTCGCCCTCCCCCAGCCCCCCTTTCCCCTGAGGGCAGGATCAGGTTGTGTCAGGCCTACCTGGGCCACCAGGATGCCTACAACAATGCCCAGCTGGTTGAGGGTCCCAAAGGCGCCACGGAGGCTGGTGGGCGAGACCTCACTGATGTACATGGGCACAAAGCCAGTGCAGAGACCACAGAAGAGGCCAATAACAAAGCGGCCAACGATCAGCATCTCCACTGCCTTTGCCGTCTTAGAGAAGGCCATGAGAGTGCCACCAGCAAAGGCCAAGATGTTCACCAGTAGCATGGAGTTCCTCCTGCCAGGGTAAAGATGTCAAGACTGAGCTTAAACTGGCAATACATTTGGAAAATCATTGGGAGAGGGGTAAACCTACCCATGACCCTCCATCTCAGGGGTGGGAGAACAGAGTAATTCCTGTTTAGCTCCTGCCTTGGCCTGCAACCCTCTCCTCCTTTTTGCAGCCCATACATTCTTGCTTCCTCCCCAGCCTCCTCCTCCTCCCCTCTCACCTCTGCCCTCTTCCTCCCAACACTCCATTATAGAAGGGAAAAATTCCCTAATGGCTTGGATCCCTCTTCCCAACTTACCTGCCAAATCTGTTGACGAACAGGCTGACTGAGAAGGAGCCAATCATACCTCCTACTGAGAAGATGGCCACAGAAAGGGACCACAGAGAGGTGAGGAGCTCTGGGGAGACAGCCGCCCCGCTCCGTTCTGACAAGGTGCTGTTGAAGAACCTCTGGATGATCTGCAAGAGAAACCATAATCCAGTGGGAGGCATTTTGCACTGGGGAGAGGGGAGATTACTTCTGAGGTCTTCCTTCTGTTTTCATGGAGGAAAGAAGCAAGAACAGATCCTAAAAATTCAGTAGGCAGCAACAAGTCATACAAGGAAAAGGTGAGGATGCAGAAAGAAGAACTTCCATTGAGAAGTTCAGTAGATGGGTAGCAGTATGATGAGGGAGAGATTGCTTCACTGAACATGGAAGGGTGGGCCAATGATGACTGAGAAAACCAGGCTTATCTGCTGAATGTTTCTGGATAATGTGAGCACTGGTGGTGCTTAGGGCGTGGGTGTGAGACAGTTGGGAGTGAGGGAGCAAGAAAACATGATCAGAGAACGGAAGGGAACATTTCTGGCAATCCCAGAACTCTGGCAGCAGGGACGGGCTTTCTGGGATGGAAATAGTTTAAGAGACACAGAAAGTTTCACTGAGGTAAGCCTGAAAGGTTGCAGCATTATGTAAAACAATCCTTCATTGTCCCATGGGGATGTGACAGGGCTGTGTTGCTGATTTCCAAGGCATCCTCTTTGATAATGAGGGAAATTCTACAAGGGCTGAGGGGGACATGGCCTCAGAGCGTCTGCCCCCAGCAGATGGCAGCAGGACATTAGCTAGGGAGGACTAGGGAGGACCCCCCCTCTGCCTCCTGCCCCCCCCCGCAATGTGTAATGTGACATCTATTCCCGGAGACAGAGTGGATGTGGTATTGGTGACTCAGTTCCTGAGAGAGAGGAACCATCTTATAGTTGCAAGAAGACCACATTTCTCATTTTCTTCATCTCTTCTCTTCTTTCTTAGGCTACAGTCATGAGATGATTTGGTCAGAGTGCCACAGTCACAACCCTTTTACAAACACCAAATCTACACTTAACACAAGGAATGAATAAGCAAATAAAATAAAAAAGCCTGAGATAGTCCCTGAGATAAACTAAGCTAGAGCAACTGTAATCCCTATCAACCCTCAACTGTTTTCTGCACGCTGCCCCCTACATTCTTTCTGCCATGGCTGGTTTATTCTGACTCAAAACTGAAGTGGCTCACATTCTTCCATGCACCAAATATAGACCCACGAGGAAACAGTAGATGGACCCCTCCTGCCCTAGTCAACCCTCTGCACTCCTAATTAAGAGAGCTAACCTCTCTGCTTGCTTTCTCTCCTCCCCAAAACTTCGTCCTTCCTGTCCATTGTTGTAGTGGAGAGGAGGTTTTGAATGTCTTCTTTCCTTGACTTCATAAACCAGAACCAGGTTGTTAGCTGCTCGGGAGACAGCTCCTCTTATTTTTACACCTTTGTCTTCTCATCAGCCCCTCACTCATACCATCTCCCCAACTCATTCTCCCTCTCACCTTCTCAGGAGCATTGATGACACCAGTGTTGTACCCAAACTGGAGAGATCCAATGGCAGCAATAGAAACAGCACAGATAAGGGGTGCTGTGATTTTCTGTGGAAAGAGAGAGAAAACAATTATTTAGCTAATTTGGTTACTCATGCTTTCTACACAACTTCAGTTTCTCTTCAGCATAAACAGCAGCTGGAGCTTATAGGTGCCATGTGCAAGTGTGCCAAGGGCAGGGAATGGGCTTTTATCCAGCAAGGGTGGGTACTGGTAACAAAGTCCCTGGAAAGGGAGATGCAACTGTACAGCAAGAAAAATGTCTGTGACTAGAAGTAGGAGGGCCTGTCAGGACCTCCCCTTTATTATCCCCTAACCTTCATCAACTATTCTCAGTTCATTAGTAATGAATACACTGGCTGCATTAGTGGCTGTTATTTTGGGTTGATCTGCTTTACAGAAAAGCTTTTGCTGATCTCTGGCATGTCATGAAACAAGGGTCTAACTCTTCCCCATGCCAACTGACAAGTTCCCATAAATTGAGTCTCAGATCTGCCCGTGAGCTAAACTGGCAGTCACTCCTAACAGTTAAAACATGCACTCTTCGGCAACAGGCCTGCTTTTCCCAGGCTAGAGCTTCCCAACCCTGCCCCAGGGCACCTGGCCCAGCAACCTCTGGCAGCCTGCCTCACAGAGGCGGCAGCAGTGCTGCCAACCTTCCCGTTTATTTTTCTTGATGCTGTGGCAATACTTGGTATTTTAAATGAAGCACAGTCCCTGGAATTTGAGTATATGTGAATTTCTATTTATTAAAATAAAATAACTGCTGAGCCCTCAGAGCCATAAAGGAAGCTTGAAGGTCCAACCTCAGAAGTCCCAGACAGAAATTTAAGTATCAGTGAAAAGCATCTGACATTTTCTACAGTTTTAAAGCTTGTGGCGTTTAAGCCTGCTCTGTGTTAGGGAGGCGCAGGGGAGCAGGTGACTCAGAAGTTGGCACTTAGACGTCCAGTGCTTGAGTTGGCACAATTTGGAAAGATCATGTTTCTGTCTCAGGAGGGATTGGAAGCTTTTCCAAAAATATTAACAGTCCCTTTTCCAAGGCTTTCCAATTATTGTCCTAAGGCTGGCAGGGGAGAGAAAAGTACTCCATGGGGCATGCTGTCACAGCTCTTCCAGTCTCTCGTTTTCCGGCTCAGCTCCAGGAGCAAGAGCTCCCAAGGCTGCCCAAAATTTTTGCCAGTAATCTTCTGCCAGTGCTCACACCACCTTTACCAATCTTTCAAGCCAAGCATGTAGGTGCCTCTGGCCTGCCCAAACCTTACGCAGCTACAAGTTAGGCCCCAGTAAACAGAAACCGGGGAAATTACTCTCAGGCATGGTTTCCCCCACCTACATCATGTAAATGTCTCAGGCTGAGCTCTCTTCCTGCCGAGGTTAGTGAAGGAGACAACGGGGACAAGGATCCTTTTCTTGCAGGGGGCAGATGATTCCCGAGGTAGCATTCACACCTGAACACACCCTATGTGGTCTAGGCTTCTTCTCCCTGCCACCCTGTGACCGCTCCCCTCATTTTTGTCGCAAGGAAATTTGGCAGAGAACCAAAAGGACACAGCTCTTTCAAAGCACGTGGGTGCCTAAAAAACGGCATTAAGACATCTAAGCAATTTTAGAACTCCAGGCCAGGTCATCCCTAGTCAGCAGGTATAGCAAAGCTGAGGACAAAACCCATCTCTCCACATTTTCACAGTGACTCAACACAAGAGCATCTTTCCCCCAGGGCTCTGCTTTATCATGGCTTGCAGTGGTCACAGATGGCCTTTTTCTTCTGGGTGCAGTAGGGACCACAGGGTACCTGCTTTGTGGGTACCCCTTCCCTACATGGTACGTACATAAGCTATAAAGCGGTTAGCTCTTCTAACTCCTCATACTCCCTTCTCCTGGCTATTGCCTGCTATTCATCTCCTACCCAGTCTCATACCACCCAGATACCACATGGCCTGACCCATCCCCTCCAGTGAGCCAGACTGTGATCTAATGTATGGATCATTTGTTACTGCTGGAAGTGCCTCACTTCCCAGAAGGCAAACAGGGAGCTCAGAAATAGTACAGCTACACCCCCCCCACCCAAAGGCACAAGGCTGAGGTCTGTACACCGGCAAGGAATTCAAACCACCACCCTTCCCTCCAACCACCGGCATCAGCAGCGTTCATTATCCAAGAGATGCTTCTCACCAGCCTCCCTCTCCTTCACTGAGTGGAACCTCAGAGCAGCACAACTTGTTGAACCCAGCTAAAGCGGCCTCTCAGCCCTCCTCTGAGTCGACCTTGACCAGATGCTCTCCTTTTCTCTGCCTCATCTTCTCACACTACTCGCATCTCCCATCAATAGGGCGGTGAGGGCCCCGGGCTTCCCCGATTCTGCTGTTCCTGTGTAACTGTAATCCCCTGGCATCCTGCACCGGGTTCAGCTGGATATTTGCTGTCTCCCTCTTTCCTCATGCCTGCCTGCTTTTCTCCCCGATGCATTCAAACACACGCAGTCATTAGCTCACTCCACTGGTGCACGCCTCACTCGTAGCTGCAGATGAGCTATGATGCCGACAAAGGCTCTGTTCCCCGCTCTCCAAAGGAGAAAGCAGGAAAGGATATGCTTTGCTTTCTTCTTGAAATTTAAAAATAGCTTTATTATAATAAGCCATACCACCACCACCACCAAAAAAATGTCTTT